ATTCTTATCCATGCCCTGAAACAACCTCTGGGCTGATCTTAAGTCAGGGCATGGCTAACTCACAGATTGAACCCTGAAACAACTTCTGGGCTGATCTAAGTCAGGGCATGTCTAACTCACAGTATGAACGACACTGAAACAACYTCTGGGCTGATCTAAGTCAGGGCATGGCTAACTCACTAGATTGAACCCTGAAACAACCTCTGGACTGATCTAAGTCAGGGCACGGCTTAGACTCACAAATTGAATTTGTGTGTTAGGTTTAGCAGAGGGGGAAAAAACAGAGAACCAAAAGGAAAACCATCAAATCAAGAGATGGCAAGCCTAGATATCAAGCCAACGCAAGACCCAAGAAGTGCAGATACCTTACCGCTAAACCACCCTAGTTTCCCACAATGCATTACTCACAACTCTTATACAATTTGCTCAAATCTACAGTACATACCATGTCTCCTGCCTTGGTAAGTAGGACAGGGACGACCTGTACAACAGATGACACGAATAAGCCATGAAAATAACATGATATAAGGAATGAAAAGAAATATCACCATTGCTTACCTTTTCTAGGACTTGCTGTGTTTCTGCTTTCCCTAGTCTGTGAGAATAAGAAAGAGTTTAAAAAATTCTGCTGTTTTAAAGTGGTAAGACAGGGTTCAGGCAGAAATCAGGTCTTGTCCCTGACATTTTAATTTATATCCATGCCCACATAATATTCCTATTTTTACGACTAACATTAATTTGTAATATGTAGTTCCAGAAATTATCCATACCCTCCCCAATTTGGAATTTCCGAAGGGTGGGGGGGGGGGAGGAGAAAGAACAAAAAATACAGAAGTTGTATTTGAAGAAAATTGGAATTTCCGTGGGTAAGGAAGGAAAGGTCTCCATGAGAGCTTAATAATTTCTGGAACTACACATTTGAAATGTCCAGATTTATGTTAATTATTAAAATTAAAACTACCATAAACTAAATAATTGCATATCTATCAGGACTAGAGTGAATGAAAATTTTCAAAGCCATGACTTTTCATGAGTAATTTTTGCATGCCTGTATTAACCCCATACAATGGGCCACAAAGTTCAAGCATCTTCAGCACCCGGGGGTGATACTCCCCTATATTCGCTATATGGGTACATGCCACCAAACAGGGTATGGTTTTCAGCGATTCTACTCTGGAACAGGGTATATAAAATCACATTCGCTCTGGAACAGAGCATATGAAATCATGCTCTCTCCTCTCTGGAACAGGTTATCCATTTTCGCAATACCGGAACAGGGTTTGATTATCAGTGATCTTGCTCTGAAACAGGGTATGAATTTCAGAGATTTTACTCTGGAACAGGGACAGGGCTCAGAAGGCTCAGTGGCACATCCCTATCCTAAATGGGCAAGAGTACCCCCCCAGCTTCAGCATTGTAGTATTCCTCATTACAGTTAAGGCGCTCTCCTCCACAAGGCAAGAAAAGACTTACTTATGTTCTGGAATATAGTTCTTCAAGAGAGATCTCAGCACAGTTAAAGACAGACTAAAAACCTGGAAGAAATCACACAAAAATATTGGGTATATCCATTATTGAAGAAATGTTGCAAAAATGCTGCTGGATACTACAAATTCATGCGCAAAACCTACTCTTTACTACRATAAAATTTGCAACTTGAAACGCAACAATGTTGTGCAAGAAGATCTTCTTGCCCATATTGCTTTATCTTTACCAAGCGCTTGCTAGAGGAGAAAGCATTGCGTGACAGTAACTAATCATTGCATGACAACACTAATGAAAGAAAGTGCTAAAAATAACCACATTTCAAACTAACAGATAAGACTTTTTCTCCAATGCCCTTCTTGAGAAGAAACGCAGTTGCCCTGGCAACGGAACRAGGATCCTGGTCTTGAGTCAGGTCTGATGATGATGTCATTTCCTTGTCAAGCATTTCCATAGCTTCTTGTCGGTATTTCCAGTGCTTGGAGTAAGCACATTGAACCTGAAGGAAATTGAAAAACTGCACTGAGTTTGCGTGATCAAGCTGGTGTGAGGTGAGTGTTATCTCCATTACCTCACCCACTAATTCTATATATTCAAGTGCGTCCTTACCAAGTGTTCACCAAAAACGGCAATGACCGAAGAAGCTACTCTAGCATCGTTATCTTTCAGTGGCTCTGGACCATCTGAGGACACCCAAAATATGCATAATTATATACATGTACAGTACAATAATTCATACAAATTATCATTAGCTTAGATAGTATACGCACTCTGATTGGTTGATAACTGTGCTGTATTAGTGAACAGGGTATGGCTCTGACATCATTCGCATGCATGCATCAAGGTTTGCAAAGTTGTGTAAACAATAAAAACAGCTTTCGCCGTGTAACTTCTGTTCAGTAACGAAGCACTCGGAAAGCAACGAAAGCAAGAAAGAAGTAGGAAGAGAAACAAGAGTCATTGACCGGTCGTAGTCTACAATTGTGACTTGCTTTTCTTTGCACTTCTTTTGTGTACCCCAGCAGTGAGCAGTCCTACTACCCTCTAAATAAATATTTAAAAAATTTCTTTCACTGAAAATGAGGGTATTACAAACCTGTTGAAGATGGACTTGTACCATCATCTGTAATATAAGAATTAAATATAATTTTTGAAATTGTTATGTATTGTTTTCAAGTAAGAATAATTATATATATTGTAATAAATAAGAAATAAAAAAATAAAAATAAAATGAAAATATTTAAGAAAAACGCTTAATATATTCAAACCCCTTCATGTGRGCACCTTTCTAATATGGCCACCTCCTATTCACTTTAAAGGCCAATTTACAGAGTACGATTCTTTTCTCAACACCAATGTTGCGCACAACATGTTGATGCCTAATTTTAGCTGCCATTTACAGTCCTAATACAAGCATTGTCAATTTACACRAAGTAGTTCATGTCATTAGCATGTTGTGCGTGCAACAGTAGATTAAGGAAAAATTGTTCCATGAATAGATTTAAAGCGAGCTGACATTTATAATATGGACACATATCTTAACACTTTGCCCCTTTGGTGTATTTAGAAGATGGTATGCATGTATGCACACAAAAAAGTTTACCTTGTTCATTATCTTCTTCCACAGGTTTGCTACAAGGTAAAAATGTGTTGCTATTAATAGAGGTCATTGCTTGTTTTGCATGAAATCTTCACCAGCTGGATGGCAAGTTTCAGTGAATCGTACAAAACAATGTTTTCTAATGTTCTAATAGTACCTTTTCTCAACCTGTAAATGAAGACTCATCTGCACAAGCTTAGCCTTGCTTAGGAGCAAATCATTTGCAAAAGTCATCTGTAATATAAAGAATGTGCAGCTTGAACAATACCAATGTTTTGAAATCCCACAGACTTCTAATGGTATCTGTGAATAGCTGACTTATAAATGAGGCTAAGCTTGTGCAAATGAGTCTGTAGTCTTCAAAAACAGCRGTATGCATCAAATGCAAAACTGATGTATTGTTTGTACGCTGGTGTAGGTTAATTTTTTTAACACATCAGACTAGAATACCGAAGACGTGGGTTCGAATCCTGCCAAGAGCATTTGATATTTTTCTCTTATTCTCTCTACTTCATTATATACACACCGAACGCATAATTTATTACTACTATACTATGTCTATTCTTTGCGTACATATTTACGGTGTTCAACTTATCTATAGAGAAAAAATATCGCTCTGGGATCCTCACGATTACCCTACATTTCATAATCTGGCTGCGTTACCAGCGTGGTTGGTCCTTGTAGTGTAGTGGTTAACACATCGGACTAGAATACCGAAGACATGGGTTCGAATCCTGCCAAGAGCATTTGATATTTTTCTCTTATTCTCTCTACTTAATTTTTTTTCAGTTTAGGGAGGAACCCATGCACCTGCCCGCATACTACCTTTTGCCTACTTACAATGTAAACATATRAATCATTAAATATAACTTTTATTAATATGTACCAGTACCTTTTGTTGATGGTAGGGAGGGGTCTTTCATCTGCTTCATCATCCTATGGATTCGACGTGTGACATTTTAATGATGGGACTGAGAAAAATGCCTGGATATCYAGATCTAAATATCACATTCACCTACCATTCTTGGGGATACTTCTTTCTGGGGTTCTGGGACAGGAGTAGTATGGGYTTTAAGGTTTACAGGCCGTAAGGGGGGTGATGCTCTGGGTTCTTGATGTGGAGGGGGTGGGGGTGGTGATGTTTTGTATGTTGCTATTGGAGGTAACGGCGGAGCTAAAAATAAAAAAGTATAATTATTGATGTGATAGTGAATTTCAGAATATACAGTATCTATTTTGGATTCATAAAATACTAGAACTAAATTCCCCAGTCCACATACCTTTGTATTAATAAATGTGTTCAGTTAAAATACTTACTTATGTGTAAATTGACAGGCTCACGAAAGTGTTGCTGTAGAAAAGAAAATTAGGACTTCTTAATGAGATATATTACAAACACAATCATCATCATCATCAACATTATCACAACCACCACAATCATCATCATTATCACCATGTATAGTCATCATCACCATTCATGTCACCACCACCACCACCATCATCATCACCACCATGTATAATAATTATCGTCACTATAATCACTATTATCATCACCATCATCATCACCATGCTCAGGAGAGGACAAACTCTTAATAGACACACTTGGAAAAGTAGTGAGAATTGAAATCATTGACACTAAAGCAACTAACATTCCGATCACTTACCCCATTTAACTCAAGCAGTTCATTTAAGTTAAGCTGTTTATATACATAAAGTCTAAACTCATCACTCTGTCTCTGTTTGATAATAAAAAGGCAAATAAATTA